GGGGGGGGCTGTTGGCGCCTGCATGGATTATGTCCTCTGAGCTGGGAGAGTTGGGACAGGGGCCGGGAGGAGCAGTAGGGATGGTGGCCCAAAGCCCTTTCCTGTGGGCTGGGAGCAGGGGGAGGGATAGTGGCCGGGAAGCCCCTTTCTCTGGTCCAGGAGCAGTGGAATAGCGGCTCAGAAGCCCCTCCCTCTGGGCCGGGAGGGGTGGGAGGGATGGTGGCCTGGTAGGCCCTTCCCTTGGGCCAGGAGCAGCGGGACAGAAGGTGGCCCAAAAGCCCTTTCCTCTGGGCTGGGAGCAGCGGGAGCAATGGTGGCCAGGAAACCCCTTCCTCTGGACCAGGAGCAGTGGGACAGCGGCTCAGAAGCCCCTACCTCTGGGCTGGGAGCAGCAGGACTCAGTACCTTGGTCTGGTGGTCTGGTGTCCTCTGTGTCTTTGTAGTGTGGAACCAGGTGGCTGTACAGAGGAGTCGGGGGTGGTGGGTCCAGTGGATTGTTGCTGGGCTGCGGGCTGATTTGGTGTCTTCTGTGTGACCCAGGATCTCGGTAGGGCGTGGGCAGACCTGCCTGTCTGCAGTTGGCTGATTTGGCTTCTTCTATGTGACTGGGAACCTCATCAGGGCGTTCCTACTTTTATTTTATTATTATGTTTTACCTCAACTATTTTTAAACTATTATTATGTTTTACTTTTCTTATATAGGCTACATGTCTGAAGACTTGTGAGATGGCCTATTTTGGTATTAAAGGGAAAATAGCATAAAACATGAAATTTATTGTGTCCTATTCCAAAAATCTCAATAATCACACTTGCTTCAGCAGCACATATACCAAAAATCTCAATAACCTACTTCTACCAAGAAAAAAATAACAGTTTATGAGAGCTGTAATTAGAGATTAAATTGAGAGTAGGTGGTATATGGAGACTAAATAATAAAAGATTAGTTTCAATCATTTGTTTTACAAAGGCAACTCTGAAATTAGTTTGATTAATACCTTTTGTATCAAGCTCTCATTTCTCAATTTTGATTTTAATCATAATGCTCTTAAGTCTCTGACACTCTTCTTATTGCTACAATTGCTAAACTGTTAGTAAGAAGCTTGAAATAATGACTTGAAAAGACTTTTTTTTATAGTACAGTGATTGCGTTTATTCCTGGTACTGAATGAGCTACTAGCCACAGACGGCACTAAACAGCCATTCTATGGATGAAATGACAGACTTGATAATGTAATAAGCAACAACTATGAAAATACCTCCTAAAATCCTACCATGATAAAGGTAGTTAGCCATTTTCCCTGCCTAACTAAACCAAGGCAAGATGATTCTACAAAGCATTGAGGTTGGTGGGGAAGGAGTGACACCATATGTTGAGAGAGAAGAATTACAAGGCTTAAATTCTTGTTTACCTAGTCACTAGGTGGACTTTGTATACAGCCTCACAAAGCTAAGTATTTACATGTCTGCCTCTGAATAAAAAATATTCCAATTTCCATTAATAAATATGTGCTATACAACATTCTCTATAACTTTTCAAGTACCTGCAGAGGCTGAGATTTTACTCTGCCTGTCAGTTTAAAGAATGCCGGTTAAAGGTGCCAAACTACTGGGTCATAGAAAAGAACAGTTTATTCTTTGTAAATAGGGAGGGATGGAGGGGTTGAAGGGAGGGCAGGGGAAGGGGGAAAAATAAGAACCAAGAGAGTAGGTACAGGTGCATATCTCCAATGATGAATGTCATTATATTGTACACCTAAAATGTACCAATAAAAGGATATACAAAAAAAAAGAAAAAAAGAAAAGAACAGTTTATTACTTACAGCAGTAGCAGCAGAGAATCAGCATTTTTGTGCCAGTTCCCAGAGCCCCATTTCCCATGGGGTGATATAAGAAAGGTCAGATAATATCTACATACACATTGGGCTGCATTATAATTTATAATTATAATTATAATTTATAATTTATAAAGAACAGTGAATTTAGGAAACCATAAGCCTTAATAATAGGCAGTCAGGATGTCTGCACTTTGTTCAAAAGGAGACACTGTCTTCCAAGACTGTTGCCTACACAAAGGGACAGGGACAGGCAGGGCCCCCTGCTTTGCATGACATGCAGGGAAATGAACACTCATGCAGAATTATCTCCCAACATGGCCAACTTCAACTTTCATTTTATTAACTGGCACTCCTCTTCAATCACACAGATTGTTTTATAGAAGTAGATTATTTCTACTGATTCAGAACCTGATTTCATAAAGATAGTGTGTTAGTCATTTTTTGCTGTGGACTTAATGTTGTATCCTTTTGAAACTCATACACGGAAGCCCTAATTGCCAATGCAATGATATTTAGACAGGGGGCCTTTGAGAAGTAATTAGGTTGAGATGAGGTCATAAGAATGGAGTATGTACTCATGACAGGAGGAGAAGGAGGAAGAAGAAGACCAGAAGCTCCCCTGCTTCCCTACTGTACTGAGAACACAGCAAAAAAGAAGAAAGGACTGAGGCCCTCACTAGGAACAGCATTGATTGGTACCTTGATCTTAGACTTCCTAGCCTCCAGAACTATAAGAAACAAATATCTGTTGCTTAAGCCACTCAATCCATGGCATGTTGTTATAACAACCCAATGAGACTAAGACTGCTGTGGCACAAGCCAATTAATCATAGCACTTTGGGAGGCTGAGGGACAAGGATCTCCAGTTCAAAATAAGAAAATTAAAAGGGCTAGGGACATAGCTCAGTGGTAGATCACGGCTTTGATTTCTAGTACAAAAAAAAAAAAAAAGTGCTGGGAGTGGTGGCACAAGCCTGTAATCCCAGCACTTGGAAGCTGAGGCAGGAGGATTGCCACAAGTTTGAAGCCAGCCTGAACCACATAGTGAGACTCTGTCTCAAAAAAGAAAGTGTGTATGAATTTTCTAAAAAAAAAACCCAAAAAAACAAGCCAGCTCTAAGGAGCACTAGTAGCTTAATGGGGTAAGTTGAACATCAAAGAGTAATTGCCATAATGTTTTAAACGTCAGATATGTAAAGTTGCATGCATTCATAATGGCACTACACAACAAAAACTTTGTAGTTAACATTGCTAGGATACTGACCCAGTTCGATGAATTTGATACTTGAAGGGAGAATCTAGCATTTAACCAGTCTTTCCTCTGTAATCTATATTTCCACATAACAAGTGAGTTAGAGAAAATTCTTTTTATAGAAAATCTTCTAGAGAAAGATTATTGAAAGCACTGTTATTATTGAAATTCACTGTTCTAGAATTTTTGATTTTGAATGGGACAAAGCAACTATGTAAATGATACCTTGTACTCAACCAGGGACATTTGAACATGGACAACTAATATCCGAAGGAATTAGTGTGCATTTTGTTAGAGATGATTAAAATTAAAAAGCTATATCAGTGAGTTGCAGATTAATTTAAGAGCAAAATAATATGTTTAAAATTTCTGTTACTGAGAGGGGGAAAATGCAAAGACTGGCAAAATGGTGATTCATGTTGATTCTGGGCAAAGGGTACTTAAGGCTTCGTTAAAGTGGAGTCACTCTTGCCTAGCTTTAGAATTTTCCATCATAAATAGTCTTTAAAAGCAGGTTGGATGCCTACACCACACCATTCGCAGTTGATCTACCGCCCAGGTAGACAGCAGCAAACTGCAGATGCATGTGGAGCTAGAAGGGCCCCAACATTTAGGGTCTTGGTTCCTCAACTTTCAGGATTAGTCCCGTGGAAAGGTGCTTTCTGAAAGGAAATCACCCAACTAGTCTAGATAGTTCTGACATTTCCCAGGGATTTCCAAAAGAGGCCTTCGGGTGTGCCCGGTAAACTGCTGCTAGATTCTGAAGAGTGGCCTTCCCCAGCTGTTGGCGTTGACCCTGGGTGGCGGCTGAAGCCTCCGGACCACGTTTCCCAAGGGTGTGGGAGCCGAGGCCGCTACCCCCGCGCCCCTTCTCTTCCCCCCCCTCCTCGGGCACTCAGTCCCCCTCCCGTACCGCTCCTCTCGGCCCCGCCTCTCCCGGCTTCACCTCGCCCTTAGCGCCGCGTGCTTGGCGGTTACTATGGCTACGGCACCCAGCCGCCAGGCGTCCCTCTCTGGTCCCAGGCTGGCAGAGGAAAAAGGCAGCATCATGAGCCGCGTAGTGACCATCGAGGAGCCCCGGGCCAACCGCCAGGTGTTACAACACCAGGGCGGGGAGAGGTCGAGGGCCGGGGGCTACACGTCCACCAACCGAGCGTACGATTTCCTGTACGGTAAGGGCTGCCCCCGACCTCCCTGCGGGGCCGTCCGCTCCCGAGCCAAATTGCCTTGCAGATGCTGGGACCTGACCAGGGCGTGACCAGCGAAAGACAGCTTCTGCCCCGAGCCCCAGCCGCAGTCGTCCTTTATGGGGTGCGGGCAGCTCGAGCCGTCCAGGTGGCCGCGCGCCCGGGGCGCATCGGAAGCCAGCTGTGCTCTGAGTCCTGGAGCACCGCACGGGCCGGGCCGCCCCACTGTGGTCACCTTCTCTTGATAACTTGCTCAGCCCTGAGCTATCTTCCTGAAGCCTAGTCCAGGTGTTTTAATGCCCAGAAAAGTATGGAATGAGTCGCAGATTTGGAGATTCACATAACGTTTCCGTGTTCTAACGGCATAAAATGCATAAAATCCCTGCTCGGATTCTCAGGACAACTCCAAATTTAGCATTCTAGGTAAAGAAGTGCCAGTTTATCTCAGGTTTGTTTTTAGTGAGTTTTTTTTTCTTTAAACTTTTTCTTATTCGTCAAAACTTTATACATAAACTAGGTACACTGGTTTCTTAGGGCTAATAAGGTCTCGATTTTTTTAATGCCCTGATGTTCCTTAAGTTTCTGTTCTATACATTTTTGTAGGCTTCTCATGACTGCTCTACAGCTGGTGCATATACTAGGTACTTGGTAAATGTTAGCTGAATTACTGAATTTACTCATAATAATCGCAATCAGGTGAGCATGACTTTTTCCAAATTTGCCCTCTGTAATCCCTGGCTCCTACCTGAATCATGCCTTACTTTGAACTCTGAAGAGCCCCAGCGTCTCCTTTGGATTGGAATCTATGAGTGCCCATTTCCTGGATAAGGACCATGTAATGGTTGCTTACATATTCTGGCTACTGGTTTTCATTATTCATCTTATGAAGTAAGTCTCATAAACTCCCATAAGCATATCACCGTGTTGTTTTCAAATGTATTTGGGAATGAACATAAACCTCTTCAGTAAGACAAGCAAATAATTTATTATGCCTGTTGTTTCTTTTATCCCCAAGTATCTTATCTGCAGAGGGCTTGCTGCATGTTTTCATGTTCCTTGTTAAGAACACAAATCCATTCAGAATAGGTCAAATAAAAGTTTGGGTTGTTCTAATAAAACAAGCCAGTCTCATAGCTATTGATGGACAAGAAGCAAAGTTCTGGCAGAGAAGGTGCCAAGCGCTCATGCTTTCTTTCTTTGACTGTATGGCCTTTTGACCTGTTAGGGCTGCCAGATTTAACAAATAAAAATAAAGGATGCACAGTTAAATTTGAATTTTAGATAAACAACAAATAAAAATTTTAGTAAAAATTTTTCACCCCAAGAAATATTTGGGACATACTTACATAAAAGAATTGTTAATTGCTTATTTGAGATTCATATTTAGCTGGACATTCTGTATTTTATCTGGCAACTCTAGCTTTCTTTCTGTGCATTTGTTCCCTTTCCATCTGACAAAAAGCTACATGTGCATGAATTTCTCTTACTAGTTCAAGAGTTGGAGTGGGACTTCAGTGAATTCTTAACACTAAAGCTTACCACCAATTGTATAGAAGGGAGTCTTCATGTATCTTAGCTGAAAATTTAAGTGAGAAACAAGCTTGAGTGAGCTGGCCTTGGGTCAGGGTTTCATCTGACAGAAAGAACTGTGGTTGGGTGGGTATAAGGGTCAGTGGAACAAGTATAAACACCTTTTTAAGTTCTTTTACCCTTCCTTACAAAGCCCTGTGTGGTGTAGGTTCCTGACCTTTTATCTACTCTTCTTTCCATACTTACTCTACTTCATTTATTCTATTCTTTTTCGTCCAGATATTCATATAGCTAACTCCTTCACCTGCAAGTCTCCTTATCTGTCCCTTTCTCAGTATTTAAATTTGCAACCCAGTTTCCTTTATCTCCTCTTTTTAAAATGCACACTCTAACATATTTTACAATTTCTAGTTTGTTATATTTGTTGCTTGTCTCTCCCATGAAGACAGGGTTTTTAAAAAAATCTTTTTGTTGCTCTACATATCCCAAGCACCTAGAACACAGGAGCTAGTCAATAGATATTTGTTGAGTGAAAGAAAGAAAGAAAGAAAGAAAGAAAAAAAGAAAGAGGGGAAGGAAGGCCTGAGCCACTTGCACCTTTTCAACCTTGGTGTGTATATCAAATTGCTATATCCAATAAGTTGTTTTTTTCTGGGTAACCAAAGAGTTGTTAGCTTTTAGGAATTGACTCACATTATCCAAATGACAATTTATTACTTTCTATAGAGAAATACAAGTCACCAAGTTGTCTAGACTAGCTGCTCAGGATATTTGTTTCCCCAGAGATAAGTTGACTTGGGAAAGACCACTTGTGAGTTTAGTGTTAAATTGATTTTAATGGTTACACTCTTCATCACTAAAGATACACCTATTATGCAGATACGTGTAACAGTATGTTACTCTTGTTGACCTTCGGAGAGAGAACTTAGGGCCAACATACAGTACTTAAAAACTTAAAATCTGAATTCTGAAGATAGTTGATATTATTTATTTATTATTACAGAATGACATTTTCTTACCCTGTCCACCAAAAAAGCATGCCTTTTGCATCTTCCTGGTGCACTGAATATGGGAAATAGTACCTCAGTTTATTGTTTCTTTCACTTGCAAACAGACATGATGCATATATACCGAGTCTTTCCTCTTGAAGTATTTCTTGGGCTACTCAGCTCAGAGAAAAGCTTATTCTTATGGAAGAAGAAAGCATTTTTAGGATATTGTGCTTGAAAACATGCTAGGCTTTCTGCTTGCATTCCAGTCCATAAGTTGACTTTGAATACTCAAGAAAGAAATTCATTTAACAAACTTTCACTGGTACATAGGGTAGAGTAACAAGGTCATGAGCTTCTTTAAAGTAGACAACACTTGAACTTTCTGATTTGGTTTCCAGTTAAGAAATTACATAGTTTTGCCATTATTCTCATCCTCAGAGTAGATATGTCCTCCTCTTATGGTACTTGATTATTTGTTTTACAGATCCATTGTTTATTGTGTCAAGTGAGAAAGACCACACACAGGCAAATATCCAAGCCACCCTGGCTCGAAGCAGACTGGTATGTCTAATCATCTACCACAGCAGCCTAGTGGCTTGGAACCATCTAGTACAGTTAACTGCATTAATCAGATTGGCTAATCACTATCTCTCCACTGGACTTCAGGTTCCACAGGAATAACTTTGCTATGATTACTAGGGAGAGGCATCTTGTGGTCCATTGTGAGGATTAATTAACTAATAGTGAATAAAAGACTCACAAACTAATTTATTTCAATGGAAATGATATATACCTTTGTTGAGGGAATTCAAGTAATGTGAAAGCATAATCAATATGAAATAATTCTAGGCATAGTCCCTGCCACATAACTAGCTATTGTCATCAGTTTCTTGGGCATCCTTTCAGAGATTTTCTATGCATATATAAATAATTCCTCCTCCTATACATTTGTGTGCCTTTTTAAGAAAAAGATTTGCTGGCTGGGGATTTAGATCAGTGGTTTTGCCGCCTGCTATGCAAGTGCAAGGACCTGAGTTCGATCCCTGATACCAAAAAACAAAAAAATATCTGATGATATAATTTTGTCCTTTTCCTTCCTGCCTCCCTTTCCTAACATTAGAGAAAAGTTCCCAGGTTTAGAACTATGTTCAGTAACCTGGTACGTTATCCAAGCTATTCTCTGTACTGGAGCAAGTCGGATCCAGTACCCCCCTTCATCAGTCGAGAATGGAAGGGACATGTGGAGAGACAGAAAGAAGCCCTGCGACAGCTGACCTCGTAAGTATCAGATGATCCAGCTCCTAAAAATACTTATGTCTTTGATGAATGTGTTTTTATTTTTTTATTTTTAAAATGTTGTATTTATTTACTCTGCATGACTTGAAAATGTTCAGTTGTAATGTTATACCAAGGCCAAATTCTCTCTAAATCGCTTTTTTTGGTAGCAAACCTGTTTAAGGAGCAAAGGTTATACATTTATTGGTTGGTAGAAGTTCTCAGAAGGTTAATGTAATCTGTCCATCTATCTATTTATCTACCTATCTATTTATTGTATCTATCTATTTAGTTATCAGTGCCTGAGTTTTTAAATAGAAATACTATTTTTATCAGTATGTGTTTGTGATACATCATGATCACATTCATCCTGGGAAACTGGAACATACACATATTGCATCTTGATCATTTTTATTCCCCCTTCTCCTTCCTTCTTCCCTAGAGTTCCTTGGCTGCCTGCATTTGTTGTTATTTGTCACCAATGATGGGGATGACTGAATTTGTTGTTCTTTGATCCACCTTACAAATCACAATTGCTTCTTTCTGTTAGGGTCTAAAATGTTTTTTGGACACAGCCAGAGCACTTTCAAAAATAAGTCTTTTAGAACCTTTGTTTTTAACTATTTATGACTTCATATTTAGTAAATTAACAAATAATAATGTCTTCCAGGCTGAACATAAAAATTATCTTTTGAAACTTTGCTATTCTCAGGTGCTTTTAATTAAAAATAGGCATTTTTGAATGTGGGATTTCATAAATCTACTCATGTCTCGCTTCCCTCTTCCCCTTATTAAGGTAGGTCCTGCTGTCTTGGCCCAGAGGAAGTAATCACAGCTTGTCTAAGGTGTGGGCCAGCTGACACATGCTATAGAAGACTTTGCTGTTAGTATGAGGTGCTCTGTGCATCTTCTAGTGCATCCATATAGAAATATTAAGTAGAAATTATATGTGAAATAATAGGCTTGAATAATGTTTTCCTGCTTTGTTTTAGAACTGATGCTTCTTTTAAGATGCCTAAAGAAATTGATGAAGACCCTGAAATCACTGGAAAGAATCGCTATAAATACTTTGACAGGTAGACAGTAATGACTAATGAGTGCGTGAGCGCTGATATTGTTTTAAAAAAAAACCCAAAAACCTCTGTAATAATGATGACAGCTATTGTTTTTGAATGCATGTAGTATCCCAGGCACCATTTTAAGTGTTTTACTTATATGTGGTCTACTCTGTACAACAGAAATATTGGAGAGGATATATATTTATCCCTATTTTGAAACTGAGAGGGAAAGTAGATTGCTTAAAATTGTGTAAGTTAGCAAGTGGCAGAGCTAGGATTCCAATTAAGCCTGCCTTGATTTTAGAAGTACTGATTGCAGCTAAGAATATATATTTGACAACAAAATAAGGCCCTCAAATGAGGTGACACATAGCAGAGATGTCACAAAACTATAGTGTGGGGAAAATTGTTAAAAACTGTTCAGATGGGCAACATTTGCTTGCTGTGTATGAATGTTGCCAAAACCAACACATCAAAAGATTCACTTTATTTCATTTGTGACTAATATGCATGTGACAATCATATACCCAAATTAAGTTAAAATAAAATAAGATTTTTTTTCTTGTGAGTTTTACTTGGGTTAGAAAAATAGTCTTGATACCACATCTGCATAAACTTCCTTGAGAAAGTAACTTTCTAATCCACATTATTATTTATGAGTCACCTCCTTATGGAATTTTTTGATGCTGGCTTTTTCAGAGAAATGTTAAATTCTTAACTAAAGTGTACTCAACTCCTAAACTTTTGAGGGGAAGCTTTAAACTAAACCATTGGGAATTTCAAAATGTCTCAGGGAACTTGAGATATTGCTGGGATCTAATGGCTGGGCAGAAGCCTCTTTTGAGCAGTTTCTCTGGGCCAGGGATTTAGCTCAAGGGTGCCATGACTGCCTGGCAAGCCTAAGGTCCTGAGTTCAATTCCCAGTACCAAATAAATAAATAAATAAATAATAGAGCAGTTTCTGAAAGTGTGGCTTGTTGGCCATCTGCAGAGAAGGTGCTGGTGTGCTTATTGAGAATGAAGATTCATTGTCTCCACCCTTCATCTTCCACATCTCTTGGACCAGACCTAAGAATTTGCATTTTATTTATTTTTTTAAATTTATTTATTTTTGGTACTGGGGATCAAACTCGGGACCTTGCACTTGTGAGGCAGGTGTGGTGCCATGGAGCTAAA